ATTCAAATTCGCAAGTGCTGGCGGAGGGTACGACTTCATATGTTACTTGCGGTGCGCCACTAGGCAACCTTTTCGTCCTTTTCAGCCTACCAATGGGGTCGGGGTCGTTGCTTTAACTAACACCAGGTCAATTGAGCAAGAGGCAGCAACTCACGTAGAGATTTTCTCCGAGTTGCATTTGGTAAAGAAGGAAGGTAATCAGCTGATCGGTAGTCATCATGTCTAAACTGCACAAGTTACTCTTTTCTGAAGCATCAAACCAAACTATTGTCACGTTTTGAGTGAGAAAATGGTACCTGACATGACCAAGTGTCCTCCGTAGAAGAGTACAGCAACAAGGATAGCATTATCGCAGAACTCGTTATTCCACGTGTAACCCATGTAAGCGATAGCTCTGAAAATGACTTCATCCTCCCAATCAGAATTCTACACTTGTCCAACTCCTGCGCTTATTTAAGAATTATCGCTTCTGCCACAGCGAACAGGATGAGTTATCCACAAAACTCACTTATGCTGGCACTTGCACCTATATCAAGAATGATGAGCCACTTTAATCCTAAGAAGGGATGCAACAAACTTTCCTGAGCCAAAAAAATGGATGACTCTCTGTGAAGATGCGAGACATTCCTCAGAGCCGTTAGTTGCAAATAACCGCCCACTACTGGACAAACAGCTTCACGGGAACGCCGTAGCGGCGCTCATGTCCTTAGTGGGGAAATTGAAGTGAGTGGGCCATTATAGAATTCGAGAATAAGCCTTGGGGAGGAAAAAGAATGTGAACAACCATTGCTCTCAATGAATCCCAATCCCAGGCTTAGTCCTACTGTCGCCTATCAGCGGTTTTTGAATGCCCTGCTTTGAATGTCCCCACCTCTAAGGACATGAGCGCAGGCAGTACCCTTTTAAACGGCTTATAATATTCTCGTACACGTACACCATTCTCTAGAAGAGCCGATTACGCACACTACAGCTTTACTAAAAACCAGGTCTATCGAAACATGACGGTCAACTCTTTCTGCTACCGTGGCAAAATGCCACACTAAATTCGACGCCTGCATTAGCCGCGTGACAATGATATATTCTACTCAATGCTGAGGGCCCGGCTTCAGATCTCTACTAGCGAATTTTGCTTTGCACTTACCGAACTGCCTCGTTAAACGCACAGCCAGCCATGCATAATAGCAAGCAAACCTGAAAATAATTCTGGGTAGAAAGGGATAAGCATTTGAACAATCGCCTCCGAGACGCAGGCAGCGCCAGTCCTATCTACTCCCTTTAAAGAGTCAGCCGATGAATAATTCCAGATTTTTACCGCTTTGCAAAACCAACACTGTTACGAATCAAGCGGGAAGGAGGGTTGGAGCAGAGTCAACCCTGCGTTGCGCAGTTTTCAACGGCCACGTTGCGCAGTTTCGCCCGATTAGACACGTTCTCTCGCGCGAACATTCACACTCGCATGCTCGAGCCGTCTGCGTCTCCGCCCATACAGCGTGCGTTGAGGATCTCTCAACGTGCCGTTGCGAACTGCGCAACGCAGGGTTGACTCTGGTGGAAGGCTTCCGTTGCTTTGGGTACGGCGTACGATTCTCGGACATTCAATCCACCGGACCATACACGTGATAAGCAGTGACATTTGTTACTACATAACTTCTACTGCTATGAACAAAGTGAAGCATACAGTGGGAGCTCTGTAGGAATCGAAGATGTCTAGAAGACATGAATTCGAACACACAGTTCAGAAGAACCAGTTCGCAAAAGTTTTTCCATGGCAGAGATTGCGAATAGCGAAGAACAAGGAATCCAGCGAGCCAGTAATTTTATAAGAGTATGAGTAATTTTATTGCGAACACGACCTAAAGTTGACTCACTTCTTTCTATTCATCCTTAGGGTTTCATCAAGTTTCCCTTCGAATCGATCTACTTCTCGCCTCTCGCATGCGAATGATCTGCAGAATAACAACTATTCACAAATTTGAATTCAGACACAATCATTTGTAACGCGAAATATCTGACAAAATATGGGGCAATTTTTAACCAACCTCACAGTACGCATAGTTGACAGCACTTCGTCGGCTATCTGATTAGCATCTGCAATAGTCGTTTGCGTCTTCTCGGACAACTTCTGAAAAACTGTGAATGCATTTCGTAGTTGGGCAGTGATTACTCCAAACATTTTAAAGAAAGGCTTCCCGTGGTTTTTTGTCGTTAGTAACTACATACAAGAATACAAATCGATTAATGCCGGGCATCGGCGAAAGTGCCGCTTTCGCTGTTTCATACACTTAAGGACGCATGTTAACTGTTTAACGTTTTGCCAGAGTTTATATTGCAGCTCTATATTTAATTGACTTTTACCTACATCCTTCAGAAAGGCGAACATATTATGAAATGAGAAAATCTGCTTCAGGTATTAAAATATTCCAGTTGATTACCTTCACTTTGATATGGATCAAGCTTGTGTACGGTCGGATTTCGTCGCGACGCTTATTTCGGTTGCTTTATTGTTCGACGAAAAAACAGTACGAGATAGTCAATGCCAATGCCATTGTGTTTAGCTCTTGAATGGGACCCAGTTTCCCTTCAGATCCTACTGTATGGACATTTTACACATTCATTGAAGGGAAAAATTGCTCGAGCCCTGCCAGCTGTGACACTACAGTCGTTAGCGACCACATGCACGAGAAGACCCTCTCCTTGGTATCAGCCGCAGAGACGTTCCACGGCTATCTGCTGCATATGGATGTTTGCTTTTGAGGAATAAACGTATCATTGTTATTTTTTTTCTGAATATAATCAGAAGGAAATGTAACTAAATCGTATGGTGATGTTTGACTACAGTGCGCACCACGTAAAACGCCGGCACACAAGGTCAATAGGAAGATGGATGGCAGCAAGTGGTAAGTGAGCATCCAAGTCCACAGCGCTCTAGCTCTCCAGTTGAACTAGAAAAATGTTATACCACATCAATTTTCGGCTTCTACCGCCTGAATTTTTCTTGTTGTGACCTGAGGAAGGTGTGTTACCACCCATTTGGAATGACATCTGCTTCAGGAGATTATGATACTTTAACATAAAAACAAAGATTACTTTTTGTTTTTTTTGTTATTTTACAATTGTTGAAATATCTTCTCGGCCACTCCCTAATTAGTGATGTCAATGGTCTAGCAAGCGTTCACCAACGGCATGCTAAACAAAAAGATATACCACTGAAATCTGTTTCACCCGATAAAAAATTCAAGAACTCACGTCATAGTATGCTCCGTACCACTTAGTGATGAACCCGACAAGAGGAATTGCAATGAAGGTCACCTGAACACGACAGGTGAGATTTTTATTGAAGAAATTCACTTGCATTTTCAGAGAGCCTGTACTAAGGACAGCGGAAAAGTGGAACTCCGTTCCGTTCAGGTAGAATTATCAGATTAGAAACTGTTTTAATCACGAACCAATGACAAACGCCATGACATAACGAACATAAAGACGAGAGCGCCAACGAGCATGACACCATTACGGAGAAAGACGTTTAGATTCGTTGACACAGTCGTCGACATCGTCTGACAATCCGATGTTAAACGAGAGACTATCTCGCCTAAAAAAGGATAGATCTAGCTAGCGATACTATTGTGCATTAACCAAAATTGAAAAAAAAATTCTCCTCTATTTTCTGTAATTTATTTCTTTGCAACGCTTACTAAAAGCAAATTCGCTAACGAGCGTGCAACCTGAAAAGTAAAAGGCAAGCATTTATTACGGAAACAAATCCGTGTGCATGTCGTGATAATTCAGAAAGGAATACTCGGGCATCCCTCGCCGATGCAAATTCTGGGGCCGTAAGTGTGCTTCCGAACAGGGACGCCCTCCTTGATGATGCTCTCACCGAAAACTCTCGGGTGAGAGGCAATGCACCGTGGTTCTCGGGTTGTCTCCCGGGAGGCAATCATTCCACAGCGGATAATCTCTCCGATTGCATGTCAGTACCAAGGGAGAGAGCCCTCTCACGTTCAGGAAGCATACGCTTACGGCTCCTCGTAACAGCAAGGGAAAGAATGGCATCGGTGCGAAGTGGGGCCAGCAGTAAAAAATGGGGAAGAAAGCCCCTTCAAACTCACACGCAAAAAAGGCATAAGAAGAAATCGTTGTTAAATTTCACAGGGGCAACCCTATCGCAAAATATTTTATTTATTTATTTATTTAAATGCACGGTGCGCTATATCACCACTAATAGAATACCGCATGTGCAAATGATGTTTGACCGACCCTAACTCTTCAGGAAAAGGGGCTACTATGCAACGAGAGAAAAAGTTCAATTTTTGAGCAAATCAGGGAAGACTGTTGAGGACACTGTGTCACCTCGATTCGATGACTCTAGTTATCTTCTTATATAGTGATGCCTCGTCAGAGCTACACAACGGATTCATAAAAAGTCCAACTCCGATATAACCGGCAGAAGAAGCTATCATCGATGGCCGCTCTAGCGAGTTTGAATTTGAAACAGGAAGAAGTGAATAATAGAAAAGGTCCAAAGAATCTCCTAGGCCAACCCAACAAACAACGATTGTATCCAGGATAAACCCTCGTATTTCTCTGATGTTTCACTCCCTTTTGCCCTCCGCGACCAACACAGGGCTGATAGAAACACAGTAACAAGGTGTGGCCCTCCGAGCCTACCGAGGTGAGCTCAGCTAGCCCAACATCGGCAACTCAAGCCCAGACCGCAAAAACAGCCTCAGGAATTGATTTTGGACTTTTTAATTGCACAGAAAGTCAAAAAAAAACAACAATCAAAAACAAGTCAGAAATTTCTCAATATAATTTCCACAAAATGCCAAACTCATAGAAAATCGTGCCTTTCTCGAATCCATAAAATCTCACCTGACTTTGTGACATCAAAGAAAGCGATGTCTTGATTGACCAACGATCGAAACAAATCGAGCCGCACTTGGCGGCTGACAAGTGCCGTTGCGTAGTCAAAACATCCTCCACGCAGTCCACCGAAAAGTGTGCTGAAAAAGAACATTCAAGAATAAGCAACATACTGTTACGTTGGTATGGCCGAACCTACTCACCTGACCATAGTAAGAAGACCCATGATGGTTACAGAGCGAACCAACGAAGCCACTCCAGCCTTCTTAACAATATTCGCTATCACTTGACCGGTGAAGTTTGGAATAAACACACGAGCTGAAAAGATCACCACATTTGTACAATGAAGCGAGTGATGTTCTGCAGCATTTGCTCAACCCTCAAATACTCACCGACAGCATAAATCACAAGGAAAACGAATCCCAATGTGAACCATACCCACTGATTTTGACAGTACCGAAGAAGGGCTTGAATATGTTCTAATGTACTTATTCGCTTCGGTTTCGGGAAAAGTGGACTTGCTTCTGCTGAAATTAAAAGTCAACAATGACAAGTGAAGAGAGAGAAGCAGTGCTTCTCTATTTCACAATACATAATTCATCTTACGCTCCATCATCCCATTTCTGGGTAAATGCAGTGCAAAACGGTGGGTTTCATGCCGAAGATTGCCAACGAACCTGCGAATTGCAGACAAGGTCCTAACGAATTTCTACAACGCACGAACTCTCATTCCACTTAATTCCCACAAGTGACGTGCTGCGAATATCACACCAACGTTTTGGGCAGACTTGAGTGAAGTCTATTCTGTGTGAGTTCAAAGTGGAAGATAGTGATAAGATGATGCGCCACAAAAAAAGCAGAGAAGTACGTTAGGAACATGCAAAATGGGACCCCTTGGTTTGCGTTGCTTTCCAACTATGGACGACCAGCAACCGAGACAGGTCTCCTGGACGAGCTGACCCCGACAGCCAAAGTCAACCAACAAACATCATGCTTGCTTGATAAGGCAGTACTTAGCCAAATTGAAGACAGCCGCTCAAAGTGAAAAGTTCTTTAAAATGAGGAGCGAACGATGCCACTAGTGGCAACACTGTTGTAGGCGGAGCGGTTTTGAGGGATTACGCTCTTTGAGGCCTCACTGCCCTGTAACTAGCTGATCGCACGCCAGGCCACTAGGTGTAGCGAGGTGGCAAAGTGGCATCATACCGTCTGCGTGCGCAACCACTTTATCATCCTGTTACAAAAAGTAGTCTTTATGATAAATCGAGCCTGAATATGTTTTCTAGGTAAGCACTGTAACCATTTCAGGGCAAATATGTTGTCGCGCCGGTAAATCAGACATCTGATTTGGTGATAGCAATTGCCACCGCCAGGGCCGGAAGGGTCAAATATGAAAGATTAGAATTCCGATGAGTCCTCTAGAGACCACCTTACTTACGGCTGAAGAGTTTAAAAATGTCTTCAAAAGAACCACTAGTGCCCAATATCGCCAATGATTATAAGTTCACTGATATAGTGTAGCTCTATTCGTGCCCCAAGTTCTCTCTATTGGCGCACTCATGTGAGTGTATAAATAAATAAATAAATAAATATTCGGAAAACCTAGCAGAAATAAGCGTATACACCGGAAGACCCACCTTCTCCTCTTTCAACTGTTGTGTCAACATTGGAAGTGTCTCCTGTTGTTATTGCACTTATGCGTTCAGAGACCAGTCGTTGATAATCGAAATCGTGTGCGCTGATAATAAAATACCAGATAAGAGCGAATAGCAAAGCAGCCGTCATGGACCACGTGGCCGAAAACCACAATCCGGGATATCGCATCATTTTGATGTTCTCGGAAAACGCGAGTACCTTCACCAGAGTGTAGGAGTAGCAGAACGTTGCGAAGCCAACCATCGGCATGAACATGACTTTCGCATGGTGATCCTTGTGGAAGGTGATTAAAGCCACAGCCGTGAGTAGAAGAATTAGTCGTAGAATCGATAGAATAACAAAATCTATAGGATTTGTGAGATAATTGTATCCATCGATGAACATGAGATACTTGAATACGAGGTCAAAGTCGAATGTCCAGGAGTCTGAATAGAATCCCATTGACACAGCACCGAGCAGGCGACATCCACGACAACGAATAGTGCAAGCATATGCGATCGGCGCTTCTTTGTCGGATTCTGGAAATTGATAATTCATGTACGTCAAAAGAAAATAAAAAGTAACACAAAAAGACTAGCGAATCATACTTGAAAAAACAGTTCACTGGACAAAAGAGAAAGGGTGAAAGATGGTTGTCACATAGAAAATTGACTCTTCATCTAGGATTACACACTCGGCACATGTGTCAGTTGTGCAAGAAATACTCGAACTGAAGAGTGAGGCCACTGAGGATTATGTAAGGCTTTCTTAACTTCTGCAATGTATTCATCTAGAATTCTAGAGAGGCTCCGAATGTAAAGAAATTCAAAAAATACGGACATATAGAAGTACGCGCTACAAAATCTGATTAGAGCGTGTTATTTTCGTTGCAAAAGAATTGATCTGTTTATTCCGAAGCGTAGATCTATACATAGCTATTATTCAGAAATCGTATATCAGTGTTAGATATCAATGGGTATTAGCGCTACCACCAGTCAATAGTCCTCGTGCGCATCCTAAGGCCCTGTTCAGAGATGTCCGCTTGCGCGAAAAAACGCATAGGCGAAACAATGTGAAATATGTATCGACTGAACGAAGACGCACAGGCGAATCGTGAAGTGGGAGGATCGACGAAAATGAGTATCATACGCATCGACTTACGAACGCTTCGCTCACGCGATTTTCCGCCTGTGCGTTTCTCACAGTCGATACATATCAAACTCTTGACTGAAATTCGCCTGCTCCGGACGTTTCGCTTACGCGTTTCACAATTTCTCAGTCGATGCGTATCTAAATCTTGGCGGAGATTTTCGCCTGTGCGTTTTTTCGCGCCGGCGGACATCTCTGAACAGGGCCTTACAAGCGGCAGAATGTTTATTCGCATTACTTCTGGACTTACAACAAGACCCCATCCGTTGCGAGAAGATACTAAACACTGTATAACAAAACTCAAAGGTTTATTGTATTGGAACACCTTTCAATGAAGCAAGTTCAATTGAAATTTATTGAGATAGTTATCAGGGCTGCTATTTAAAGGAGGATTGCACGGAAAGAACGAAGGTCGAAGAAGGGAGAAATCGCCTAGTGGGGAGAGCGGTGAATCTCTTGAGGGTGCGGACAGACACGCAATCGGCATCGAAAGATTTGACCTCTGAGATCTAGCATGGCTCAAAGTTGACGAGTTCGGCGATCTCCGCCCACCGATCGTCTGATCACTCGCCGTAGTACAATAGGTGGCGAGTGATTAGATAGCTGAGAGAGCGTAGGGTTGAAGAGGGCAAAGCGATGAGAGTCCATCAATGCTCAAATCAACGGACAAAGGAAGGGGTCCCATTTTCGGTTCTGGCCGTTTT